AGCACGGCAAAAGAATGAACAAGAAGGGGGCACGGAACTGTTGGAGGAGACAGAATTGGTGTATTATCTTGATGGTGATGGTGGTTATGCAATTCTATGCTTTTGTCAAGGCTCATGGAACTGTACCCAAAAAAGGGCAAATTTTATTGTGTGTAAATTATACCTCAACACGCCTGACCTTTTAAAAATGACTTCCACTTGCCAATCCTTTTTGGAACAAGGCAAGGTATCAATGGCTGTCAACTGCTGTGAATTTCCCACCCACCTTTGAAAGTGGCAACTGGAACTCTCTGAAAAGTCAAGTATGTCAAAGAAGAGGGTCAGTGGTTCCTGCAAACGTGCCTCATTTTGAAAGGGGTTTAGACCACAGAGACATTCCTTGTTTATTCATTAATTTATTCATTCATTCACTCATTCAACAGTGTTTATTGAACACGTCCTAAGAGGCAGACTTGGGACTAGGCAATTTGGACATGACTGTGAACCTATACCAGCTGCTTCCTGTGAGGGGCGTAGAATCTAGGGGACTGGAGAGTGGGCAACTTCATAGAAGTAAAGAAACAGTAGCAAACAGGGGCCATGGACTCCCGGAGGGCATCCAATCTCATCCCAGCGAATTGGGAAGCTCCTGAGAGGAAGCCAGCCTGAGTGTGTGTCAGCCAGGTAGGCAGCAGGTGTGAGGACCTCCGTCCATGGGATGCACATGTGTAGATGCCCAAAGGAGAGAGAAAGAGGGACACATTAAAAAAACTGTAAGGAGTTCATGTTGGTGAGAGCTTTGAGGCCAGAGAATGGCTTTGCTGGAGTCATTTCCCGCTGGGGGAGGGGGTGTCTCTTTTCCTCCTTGTTCCACCAGTTTGAGGCCCTACCCTGAAAAAAAGTTGTGCCACGGAGGAGAGAAAACTGCTGTCCTAATTCAGGGCTCTCAGAAGCTTTAAACAATAAATCTTTGCTCAACAAATGAAAAGATGTCAGATTAACTGATAAAAAGCTCCTGGGTACTTGGGCTTCTGAACTTTTCATATATTTTTATCGTGGGTCTGTGATATACTTTCTACATCAGTAAAAAGGCAAATTCAAATGCCAAACGGGGGATTACAGCAAGTACCAAGACCATCCCTAGAACCTCACATTAGAGCCCCTCGATCGGAATTGTCTCACCCTGAACCCCAAAAGGGTCTATTTTCTCACTGTAGAGAGATGGTTCAGTTGATCCAAATGGACATTTCCCAGGTTTCACTGTTGGGCCAGCTTTCTGAATTATATAGAGAATAACTTCCGAATTGCCTGGCTATGTTTTCTTTTCTGTGCTAAAACACCTGGGCCATCACTGTATCTTGTGGGGAGGGATTCCAGCCCAGCCCAGAAATCATTGAGCAATGGCTGAAATCAGCTAGAACATCTATCCCCCCAAAAGACACAGTGTGGAACTCCCAGAATCCTCAGAGCCAAAGCTGTGTCCATTTGGCCATTAGGTCTGCTGTCATATGCCCTTGGCCTGCATCCATTATGAAGCTAGCCTTAGCCATTCGCATCAGGGGCTTGGCTCTGGCGTTGTAGCTGCATTAATTCTAACCATTAATGCCAAAGCAACTGGCTTGATTTCACATGTATGGCTGTGTGTGAGATCCAGCCACTGGATAAACGAAATTCCAGTGTCTCATCGTTACTCTGTTGACGGCCATAATGAACTGGAGTATAGCTCTTACTTATCCATCTTCTTACTAGATGAGGACAGATTTGCTTTGCATACTTGCATCAAGCTGGGGCAGGATATCATTTCTTCTAAAATATTAATATCCTGAATCCCTTCCTACACAGGAGAACGCCAGGGCCTCCTGAGATGCCCCCCCCCAAAAGCCTTTGAACCCCACAAACTAGTCTGAACCCCTACAGTCAGACTTCTGTTCCGTAATGCTCCTCCCAGACCAACAGGAAAGGACCAAGGGTGAAGGAATCCTGAAAGGGGTCCTGTCTCCAGGTGAAGAGAAAGGAGAAGAGGCATGGGAGGGAGGGCATCTGCATGACGGACGGATGGAGCGGGATTTTGTCTTGCAGGGTTATCTGTCAGAAGGCTTGGTAACGAAGTGGTACCGCTCACCACGCCTGCTCCTCTCCCCTAACAACTACACCAAAGCCATCGACATGTGGGCGGCCGGCTGCATCCTGGCGGAGATGCTCACGGGGAGAATGCTCTTTGCAGGTAAGCTGCTAACCACTCGCCTTCCTTCTCCTCTGGTGTCGTTCTAGACCAAGGGAGAACTAGGTGCACAAAACATGCCAGACTTTCCCTTTGAAGTAATCGCTGTGGCTTTTATGGCACTGCTTGGAGGCCATATATGCTAGAGAGACTAAAAGTAATCTTTTTTTTTCTTTTTTTTTAAATATATCTTATTGATTTTTTTACAGAGAAGAAGGGAGAGAGATAGAGAGTTAGAAACATCGATGAGAGAGAAACATCGATCAGCTGCCTCCTGCACATCTCCCACTGGGGATGTGCCCGCAACCCAGGTACATGCCCCTGACCGGAATCGAACCCGGGACCCCTCAGTCCGCAGGCCGACGCTCTATCCACTGAGCCAAACCGGCTTCGGCTAAAAGTAATCTTTTAGGACAGAACTTTCACAATCAAGTAACCACTTATATTCCAATACCTTGAGGTTGACCGTTGAAAACACCCACCCTATGTTTCCAGCCCCTTCCTTCGCTCTCCCTGCCACTCTGAGCAGTCGGTCTGGAGTGCTCATTTGGAGAGGGGTCCCCACAAGGAGCTCCCAGAGTCCCTGAACTGACCCTCCATGAGCCCACTGAGGGAGAGGCCACGGGGACTCCTTGAGAGCAGACCCTGATGCTGGAGGCCCTTTCCGGGCTGGCATTCACAGCATTCGCATATACTTAGTGCCACACGGGGCATGTGGGGACACACAGAAGAGCCCATCCTGGGCCACCAGCTGCTGGCAGACTGGGATCCATGGGAACCGGGGGTATGGGGAGGGCCTCTGTGCAGCTGGATGAGTCAGGGGGCTCTTTGAGGAAAGCGAGGCTTGGTGAGGATTCACTCGGGTAGAGGAAGTGGAAAGGCTACTCATGCAGAGGGGAGACGGGAGGAATGAAGGTAAGAGTGGCCTGGAGGTCAGAGCGGGATAGCAAGGAGGCAGACTGACCATCCCAGCAGTGCCAGAGCTCAGACACAGGGTCAGTGTTGTGTGGGGGTAGAAAGTGCGTTGAGTTTCTGAGACGCATAAAGACTGACGCGTTTACAGATGAGAGAGGTGTTCGTTCCCAGCATCCAGCATGATGCCTGGCAGGAAGAAGGTGCTCAATAAATAATTACTTGCCGAATGAATGAATGCCTGCCTCCATCCTGATCCACGCCCTGAGCATAGCCTGTCTTCCTCCCTCTGCCCAATGGAGCACAGAGGCAGTGCGCTCAGAACATATTCCAAACCCAATTTGTTATTCCTGATATTTCCTCTCCTCATCGGAATCCTCCTCATTGGAAACCAAAGGGTCAGGCTCAATCCCGGCCTTGAAATCACTTGCTTCCCCAGCCAGGCAAAGAACATGCAGAGGGGCCTATGGGAGGGGGCCCTTGGAAAGCATGGGGCCAGGCTGTCCCCATCACTTTGGTGCTGGCTGCCAATCTGTATCAGAATGTTCATCCCAGAGGCAGAGGCATTTGACAAAGCCAGACCCAGAGACGGCAAGCCATCTGCTCATAGTCACCTAGCAAGTTAGCGGCAGAAGGAAGACCAGAGCCAGGGCCAGGGCTGTCCCCACTGCCCTGTGTGGCCCCTCCCAGGCCTCCTGGAACTGCTGTGGGGCTTCCACACACCAGTCACTTGGGCAGCACACTTACCCACCTGGCATTTGCCTCCCCAGGGGCTCACGAGCTGGAGCAGATGCAGCTCATACTGGACACCATTCCTGTGATCCGGGAGGAGGACAAGGACGAGCTGCTCAAGGTGATGCCTTCCTTCGTCAACAGCACCTGGGAGGTGAAGAGGCCCCTGCGCAAGCTGCTTCCTGAAGTGAACAGTGAAGGTACCTGCGCCCACAGCCAGGCCCGCGTCTGCAGGCTGCACTCTGCGTCCCCTTGGGGGCGGGGCCAGATCGTGTCCTTCCAGAAGGACCAAGCATAGTCCTTAGCATAGAAGTGAGGCCCCCTGGCAGCCAGCATTTGCCGGGGCTACTTCCAGATGATGAGCCCCTGGAATGTGGCCAGCAGGCAACCTCAAGGCAGTCATTAGGGGTCCTCCATATTCCACCCCTGATTTGCCTCTTTTTCTTTCTTGTCTTTCTCACTTGCTTCCTTCTTCTCCTCCTTCACCCCCTTTACTTTTTCCTCCTTGGAAGGCATGGTGTGGTGCAGAGAACATGGGCTTTATCAGCTTGAGAGCCAAAGCCAGGCTCAATTCCTAGTTCTACCAATGAGTGCCTAGCTGTTTGGCTAATGCCGGCGGTCTTAATCCAGCATTCTAGAAGGTTTCAGGAATCTGGAGAAGTGCTATGTGTAATTAAATAAGAGTCCAGAGACGAAACATAATTTTGAAAGGCATTTGGAGGCCAGAGAAGCTTGGCTAAAGAAACCAAGTTCTTCCTTGTCTCAGGACCCCTTGCTATTTATTAACACAAATTGTCCTAAGGCAAGGTAGATATACACTTCAAAGGCCAGGGTTTAGTCTACAAGAGTCCACTGTCAGATTGGTGAAACTGCCTACGGCTGTTCAGGTGTTTGGCCAGTAGGAGGCAATAACATGTAGATTGAGATGCCCTTAGCTGTCTGGCAGTAAGGTTTGGGGAAATGCCTTTAGCCATTCCCAACAGGCAATAACATATGTGACTCAGCCCTTATTGAGTCCCCAAGTTCCATCAACCTCTTGATGAAACTCTTGCAATTATGACATGCTGGAATTGGCTTCCAGCATTTGGCCTTGGGCAAGTTTCTTAACTTCCCTGCATCTCAGTTTCCTTGACTATAAAATGGGTATAATAATACATATCACATACTGTCGTTATGACGGATAAGTAAATAGGGTCTGTAAGACCCGGGCATAGGAGGGTTGCTCTGTCATCTTAGATGTTACATTACCATTGGGCCTCATACCTGCCAGAGGCTTCCTTAGGAAGCTTCTACAGCCGATTATGAGAGAGACCAAAATTCTTCAGGCTCAAATAAGATTTAATTCTTACTTAAGAAAAAAGAAATTAAGAAGTTTATTTCTCACCCTGGCCAGTGTTGCTAAGTGGTCAGAGCATCTGTCCATGGACTGAAGGGTCATGGGATTGATTCCCAGCCAAGGGCAGGTACCTGTGTTGCAGGTTCATCTCTCAGCCCCAGTCAGGGCATGTGCAGGAGGCAACCAATCAATGTGTCTCTCTCAAGTTGATGTTTCTCACTCTCTTTCTCTTCCCTCCCTTCCACTCTCTTTCTAAAAAATCAATGGAAAAAATATCCACAGGTGAGAAGTAACACAAAAAAGATTATTTCTCTCTTATATAATAATCCAAATCCAGGCAATTGAAGGCCAACATGGTGGACCTGCTCTACAGCTGTCCAGGGGCCCAAGGTCCTTCTGTCTTGTTCTGCAGACACTTCTGCAGGAGGTTTTCATGGCTTAGGCCGGGAAATGGGGTACACACATCACTTCGACCCCCATTCCACGGCCTCCGTCACAGCTTCATCTAACCACAGGGACAACTGGGAGATGGGCCAGTGTGAGGCAGGTGGAGAGGGGCTTACACGGGGCATGACTGCCACCTTGAAGCGTGAGAGGGGCAGGTGTGGGGCAGAGAGAACAGCTGAGGTGGGGGGACCACAGAGGGCGGAGCTAGGCTCAGGCGTGGAGGGTAAAGGGACAGATGTAGGTTGGACAGAGAAAGGGTTTTTTAATGTTAGGGCTTCCCAGGAGTGTCTGGGCACCTGTTAGAGGACATGGAGAGGAAAGAGGAGACGCTTACTAGTCGGTGGAGTGGCCTTCAGGTAGGCACTGTCCGACTTCAGGGTTCGCTGGGTCTTTCTTAGTAATGATGACAATGGTGATGATGCCTTAAAGCTTTAACTCTCCATTTCCGTGTCAAAAGGTCCAGTGTCATAGGGTGGGGCTGAGGGAGGGTCAGAGGCCCAAAGAGGGGAAGGCTTGCCCAGCCTGGAGCCCAGTGGCAGTGCCAGACCCTTCCCAGTCCTGGGCACCTGGAAGGCTGATCCTCTTTCAGGTCTGCAGCCCTGGCCAGAAGCATCCCCTGGGCCCCAGAGCATTTGGGGGTAACCAGAGTGGCTGCTGCTTCACTGGTCTGTGTCTAAGGTTACAGAGCAGCACTGAGCTCCCCTGGGAGGCCAGTGACCCTCCATTTCCTGAATCATTGATGAATCTCCCTGCAAGGAGCTCTAGAGCTGTGGGAGGGGCAGGGTAGCGGTGCGGCTGAGGCCCCACGGGAGCCCCTCCAAGGGGACAGCGGCCTGGGCCTTGAGCTCAGCTGCCTCCTCCCTCTGCACCTGGGCTGTCCCATCATTAGCCAGGTCAGGATTCCAGCGGGGTCTCCAGCCCTGAGAAGTAATGCCCACCCCCCGCCAAGCTTGACCTTGCCCAGATAATGCAGCACCGAGCTCACGGGGCAATGGGGACCCCTACCTACTTAGGAAACAGCGTCAGTGCCTGGGCCCGGAGCCGATGTCCAGCAGTGCGCACCCAGAACGCCCTGAGACCCTAACATACTGTCATGCTGGTTGGCAAATGACTACTGACTGCTCAAGGCTTCCGCCTGACCCTCCCCATCCCAGGTTCCAGATGCCAGGACCTCCCCTTGGTCCAGCCTCTAAAGGGTTTCTGCCTGGCACGGCGGGGTCTTCAGCCTGGTGGTGAAATATCCTGATGTTCACAGCCCTCCCCCATCCGACCACACCTTCCTCGCTGTCCCTCCCTCCTCTCATCCCTCTTACACAGAGCCAGCGTCTCACCCTCGCCTCGTCAGCCCCACATTCATTTTCTCCCCCATCTTCGAGTTTCAATTCAATTCCACAGACAGGGACCGAGTGCCTCCCCACAGCCCTTCTGGAGCAGAGTATAGGCAATCCTCATGATTTACGGGTTCCGTCTGTATTTGCCAATGTGCCTGCCCGCTGGTATTTATTTTCAATCCCCCAAATCAATTCCCATCGCGCTTCCACTGCTATTCGCTGACAGGTGCAGAGCAGAACAGCCAAAAACCCGAGTGGCCCCACGTGCACGTGCCCAACGGAGGTCCACGGAGGACACGCCTGGGCCTGGTGCAGCCCTCACTCTACAAACAGGCATCCTTTCTGGGGTCTATGCCATGCCACCTGCGTGCATGTTAGTACTTCTGAAAATACATGTATATTTTTATTGATTTCAGAGAGGACGATCCAGCCCGCCTTTATGTGTTAGACCTCCCCGAGCAACATCTGGTGGGAGGCGCTCTGGATGTAAACTAGGAGCTCTGGCCTGTCAGGCCCTGTCCCACCCGCCTCACCTCCGCGACCTTCCTCTCAGGGGCTCCCCAGCCACCCCAGCAGCACTCAACCCAACATGGGAAGCAGGTGTAGAGATACCCCAGCGCCCCTAAGTGAAGCCCCTTGCAGGCCCCACGCTGTCTCCTAGGGGACCCCAGTGGACATGAGCCCCAGGTGCCCACAGGGGAACCTGCTCATAGATACATCCTCTACTGCAGCGGTTCTCAACCTGTGGGTCGAGACCCCTTTGGGGGTCGAACGACCCTTTCACAGAGGTCGCCTAAGACCATCGGAAAACACATATATAATTACATTACAATTCATAACAGTAGCAAAATTACAGTTATGAAGTAGCAACGAAAATAATTTATGGTTGGGGGTCACCACAACATGAGGAACTGTATTAAAGGGTCGTGGCATTAGGAAGGTTGAGAACCACTGCTCTACTGGCTTCTTCCCCCGCCCCTCCCAGTGCACTTTGGGGATCACCGTCAGGTCACGACTTACACCTCAATCCTTGTCTCTGAAGAACCCAGCCTAAGGCAGAGTTCTAGCCCTGGACCTCCTGTCACCAGCCATGACCTTGAGCATGTCCCTTTCCCCTTCGGGGCCTCTCTTACTTAGATTTGTGAGTCAAAAAGCAGCATCAGCCCCGAATTTATCGCTGGATTGTGGTGAGGATCATGAGAAAGAAAATGACTAAACACCTTTTTACAAACGGAAAAGTACACAGGATCGTCGCCACGCTGAGGGGCCTCCTTCTCAGGGTGGCAGCGGCAACCAATGACCTTCCTGTCCGGCTCTGCTCCACAGCCATCGACTTTCTGGAGAAGATCCTGACCTTTAACCCCATGGATCGCCTCACAGCCGAGATGGGGCTGCAGCACCCCTACATGAGCCCGTACTCATGCCCCGAGGACGAGCCCACCTCCCAGCACCCCTTCCGCATTGAGGATGAGATTGACGACATCCTGCTGATGGCCGCCAGTCAGAGCCAGCTCTCCACCTGGGACAGGTGTGGTTCCAGACGTGTCCAGCCCTGGAGTCCAGAGCCCACGTCCTGTCCTCCCATTGCTATTTGCCTCTGATTCTGTGTGACCTTTCCCTCTGTCTCCCACACTGTATAGCCCTGGGGCGCCTTCCCCAACTTACCTGCTGGCCTTTCCCTCTCCCATCCCCTGGCGCTCAGTATAGGAGCAGCCTGTCTTACATGTGGGCCAGGGCCCTTCCTTTGGCACCGCCAGCATTCTCCCCCCGCCTTCTTGCGGCCCCCCTCCTGCCCCGCATGTACCAGGCTCAGGGCAGTGTTCCGCTAGCATTGAATGAGGGCCCCTGCAGGAGCTGCCTTCTGGCAGCCTGGGAATTTGCCCTGGAAAAGCAAACTGCAGCCACACAAGGCCAGAGAACAGTGTGGAATTTACCGCCACACAGCACGTCCCTGTGTTCACCTCCTTTGCACCTCTGCAGAGTGCCATGAGGCGGGCACCGTTATTGGCTTTGCCCGTTGGCACGTGAGGAAGCTACAGCGCAGAGAGGGTAGAGATGGGCATCGTGTCACACAGCTGGTATTTGGCCCACCTGGGCTTCTCCCCAATCTGCATCCCTGTCAGACACTGCTAAGCATCACAGGACTCTCTCCCGCTAAACTGGGCTGGGGATCAGAGTCCTTCTCAGCAGTGTGCCCTGGCGTCACTACCAACGAATCAGAGTTGGATGCAAGTTCCTGTTTAAGGAAGACGCTTTTAAAAACAGGTACTTTAAGCAACCTCCATGTCGGTAAGGCATCTAGTGACCTCCTAGGTCCCTTCCTGGTCTGGTGGTCTTAGATCGCGCAGCTAAACGTGCGGGCATCGCCGTGTGCATTCCTGAGAATGACAGCTGATGGCTGCTCAATCTAGTAACAAAGTCCAGGGTTTGGCAGGGAGGACTCTGACTCCGAGGGCCCCAGTGGGAGCCCCGCTGTGGTGGGGGTGTGACAGCAGCTACATAAGTGACAGAGGAGCGATTCCTCCTTTTCAGTCATGTGACTGGATGGGTTTCAGATGAGGGAGGCAGCAAGGGAAGGCCATGACCCATTGCTAGTTTGGACAGGTTATTGGGTTGTCCACGTAGATGGTTGGTATCAAGCGTTGCCAGCAAGTGGAGATTAAGGCAGACTCTCCTCTGCTGCCCCCTGTGTGTGGCCTGCCCTCGACTGTGGTCCCTGCAGCCCCTTTTCCCCCCCTTCCCCAGAATTTAGAAACTTACTGGAAAGTTAGTTCGTGAGGACAGGGATTGTGTTGTTTTGTTCGCGGCTGTGTCTGGTAACGCCTAGAGCAGGGCCCGGTACAGAGTCGGTGCTCAGGAAATACGTGCAGGGTAGTGGATGGATACCAAGAATACCAGGGGTAAGAGAACAGCCCCTCACCCCGAGCCCTGGAGCCTCGCCATTGCCATTCCCATCACCCTCCCCGCTTGCGGCGCGGTGGGGACCGGAGCCGGAGGGCTGGGCTGGGGACCCAATCCCCGGTCCGTCTGCACCCTTGCAGGTACCCCGTGAGCCTGTCATCCGACCTGGAGTGGCGGCCCGACCGGTGCCCGGACGCCAGCGAGGTGCAGCGGGACCCGCGCGCGGGCTCGGCGCCGGCGGAGGACGTGCAGGTGGACCCGCGCAAGGACTCGCAGAGCAGCTCCGAGCGCTTCCTGGAGCAGTCGCACTCGTCCATGGAGCGCTCCTGTGACTACAAGGTGGGGTCGCCGTCCTACCTGGACAAGCTGCTGTGGCGAGACAACAAGCCGCACCACTACTCCGAGCCCAAGCTCATCCTGGACCTGTCGCACTGGAAGCAGGCGGCCGGCGCGCCCCCCACCCCCGCCGCCGGGGCCCTGGACGCCGGGGCGCGCCGCGAGGACGAGCCGGCCAACCTCTTCCTGGAGATCGC